TGCCTTTATGAAAGGGTCTCCAAGCTGATCTCTCACACTGCTTGGGCTCTAGGCTTTGTCTCCTGTCCCCTGCAGCAAGGGCTCATCAGAAACTGTCTCTAGGCTGTCAAGAGCCAGCAGATACCTCCACAGTAAATATGATCTCTAGCTCTTGTGGATTTGGGCCTTCCTATCATTTCTGCTCCTCACCCCATTACTTACTCACCACTACTCTACATATTAAAATATTAAAACTTCTTTTTTTGGCATTTGCTGCTTTCTGAACTAGAAGGAGTTTCTCCAAACATCTACCCAGAATATTCTTGGAAACACAAGTCCTGCTGTTAAAATATTAGAATTTTCCTTTGCAGAAATTTTTCCTACACAGATGTATAATCTGTATAATAAGAAAACACCATGCGTAGTGCGTTCTAACCTCTTGTCATTTAGCAACGTATTTTGAACAACTTTTTACATGCATAAATGTGTCAGTGATGCTGTGGGTGTAGGAAACAGACACCAAGACCAAGATTTAAGTGCAGGAAGTTCATTAGGGAGTGCTTTGAAGATCGACACCGTAGGGGAAGGGAGTTAAGTAGGTTTAGGCAGAAGGGGGAATGTTAGGCAGTTGTGCAGTTGTCAGTCACAGGGCTTTGGCTCTGGAGCTGGGAGGGCCGTGCTGAGTTGTCCCAAACTGAAGAAAGAAGACTGGGCCTGTATACTCCTGTGGAGTCTGATGTGGGCTGCCTCTGGGAAGGGGATGTAACATTGGCAAGGCAGCCAACTTCAAGTGAGTGTGATTCCTGGAGCTAGCTGGCAGATGAAGACTGTCAGCCTGTTGCCCTCCCAATATCTGCAAGTCCTGAAGGGGGATCTCGGGAAGCACATCATAGTATCCACCACAGTGAGGGACACTTGGGGCTCCAAATAACAGAAAATCCAACCAACTCTTACTTAACGGATGGTTAATTATTCTCACTTAATATAAGGTCTGCAGCAGATGATTTTTTGCATCAACAGCATCTTTCCCTTTTATTAGGACAGCAAAAACAAAACAAAACAAAACAAAAACAAAAAAACAAAAACAAAAAACTTTCTCAAAGCCTCCAGTAGACTTCTCCTGACATTTCATTGATCAGAACTGGATCATATGGCCACTTCTAGGTTCAAGGGAAAGTGGGAACTGGATTTTCATGATTTTGTGCCTGGAGCAGTGAACATTGCTGCCCTGAACAGTATCTGGATTCTGTTAGTACAGAAGAAGAGGGAAAGGATTTTAGACATGCATCTCACACAGCCTGCCACAAATAGACGTCTACAAAATTATTTTGAATAATATATGGATATAACTTACTGAAATAGACCCTGTATTGCTGGAAATTTTGATTGTTGCCAACATTTTGCTGTTATCCACTGTGCTGCAATAAACATCTATCTTTGCCCAAATCCTCAATTCTTTGCTCAGGATGAAATGCCAAATATGTAATTTCTGGGCCAAGAGAATGTACCTTTTTAAGGATTTTGATACAGATTACCATGATATACCAGGAATAGTTCTATAAATGTATGTTTACAGGAGCAGTGAATGAAGAGGCCTACTTCCCCTAGATCCTTGCTGACACTGGATATTAACATTATTAATTTTCATCAGACTTATATTCTTTAAAAAGCATCTTGTTTTAATTTGCATTTTGATTACTTTGTATTCATCACATTGATTCATTTTTTTGAACTGTGGTCCAAAAATAGGGTTTGTGTGGTTTCAGCATTTTGGAAATTATTGAAATATACTTAGTGTTTTGCTTCTGTGCTGTAAAGTTTAATCACAGCAGGTCTATAATTAACCTGAGCTGTTTGCTTAAATTAAAGCTCCTGCTTGACACTGACTCCTGGTCAAAGCATGAAACACTGATGTATAATGTCTCTGTAACCATGAGTCCAAAGAGTTTCAGAGCAGTTTGACACAGCTCATTGGCGCTGTTTATTAATCACAATGAGATTGAAGACTTGTACCTGTATCACTTGGGGTGATACTCCCCAGCCCCCACCCCCAGGGTTTTGTGGGTTCTGCAGCCGGGATATGCCTAGGTGACCAGCAAAATATAAACACCCTCAGCAAATACTTTATTTTAGTCTCCCTGGTTCCGAAGGGTTCTGTGCCCACATCAGTGGTTCTGGATCCAGGAGACATCTGGCCTGGCCCTTACAGAAACGGGACATCAGGAGCCTGCACCCGGCTTCCGCAGATGCCTACTGTGAGTCGTAGGCTGTGATGTATATTCTGACATTCGTGCTCTTGCTATAGCATGTCACTTCCCTGTAATAAACTGAACATTGGTAGGCTTTGTCATTTTGGGTCCCGTGAGTCTTCTTCAGCAATTGAACCTTGCTTACATGTCACTGTTAGTGCAGGTCTATAGTCAATATTTGTAAGTGTTCCATGGGCACTAGGAAAAAAGGTGTAATGTCTAGAATACATATACATGTTTCTTCCCAGGAAGCTATTCAATAAGACCTTAATCATATCATTAAGTGAATCTCTGTCCTTCATATTTTGATTGTATACATTTCAGGGCCATTTTGTTTAGTTTTTGTGTCAAATTCTACTAACTTAAGTATTTTGATCTTTGGTTTTCCTTCATTTGTGTCTGCTTCTTGTATTTCTTCCCATTCTCTTACATTGATCTTTTTGTGCGATTGTGGGATTGTTTTTAATTAACATAGAATTGATTTTTAAAAACCCAGTCTGGGAAATTTTATTTTTAAATAAGGAGGTAAGTTCCATTTATATTTCTCATTATAATGAATACATTTAATGTATTATGTTTCATCTTCTTCTATGCTATTTTTAAATGCTTCTTTGCCATTTCCTTTGTTTTATGATTTGTTTCTCTCTTATGAGTATTCGCTTTTATCTTCTTCATTGCTTTGGAAGGCATATATACTCCTTTTAGGACTGGTATGTATGGCCTTTAAGCATTCTGTGGGTCTTGTTTAATAAATCTATGAGACACATTAGGAGATGGCAAAAGGACTCACAAGGGCCCAGTCAAAACTCCCCCTACCCACAGTTGGGATAATGTGATATGAACATAAACATAATTGCAGGGGCTTGAAACATGTCAAGTAAGTGTGAATCTGTGAGTTCATATTACAAAAAAACTCTTACTATTTACCCTTTTAAAAAAGGCAAAAACCTTATTGTTTTCCTTTAGAAGAGTTTATGGCACCAGCTGTTTTTGGAAAACTGCTAAGTAAAATATTGAAGCAGGACAACAATTTAAAAAAGCATTCTGTGGCTGTATTTCTTAAATGATCAGAATTTTTTAAATGAAATAGTAATCTTTTAGTACCTTCTGATTTGGCCGAGGTGAACTTACTTTTAATACCCTCCCTCTTCTCTTTGTTACTAAAATCTTAGATTTAGATACAGAGTAATTATTTAGACTTTTTAAAAACTGTCATTTCCACACAGTTTTCTCATTTTTGAACTCTTTTTTTTATCTCTTGTTATTATGGTGTACATTAAATTTTTTTCCGGGAGTGTGTGTTGACAGTATGTTTGAACCCTAGAGGTCTGGAAGAACAGTTCACAGCAAGGCTCAGAAGATCCGATTACCTGGGCCCCACCCTGCCTCTTAGAGAAGTTACCTAAACTCTCAGTTCTGTCATCTGTAAAATGAGGGGTGATGGTAGAGTGAATGAGTCAGTATATATAAAGCTCTTAGAACAGTTCCTGTCACACAGTGTGTGCTTAATATTTGTTAGCTATTATTGTAAAAGACAATTTGGCAGAGCGGATGAATCTTCAGTTAGCGAGCCTTTTCTCTAAAAACTCTAGCTGTTGCTCCGTTTTCTTCTGAAAGCTGATGCTGCAGAAAAGCCTGAAATCAAACTGACTTTGTTGCCTTCCAGCATAGCGGTTGAGAGCTCTAGCTGTGTGACCTTGGGCGACTTACTTGACCTCTCCAGTCCTTGCTGTCATCATCTGTAAAGTGGGGCAACTCATAGACCTCCCTGTCTTGGACCCTTTGCATTTGCTGGCCAAACCCTCCTTCCTCTCTGTCATTTATTTTTCCTCACTCCAACCTTTTAATTCTGCGGGGACTTACAATGATACTACCCTCGGCCTCCGGCCAGTTACCTCACTCCGTCCTCTTAGCCGCTGCCATGGACCCAACGGCGAGCACGTGGCACAGAGACAACTGAGTCCTTCTGTGGTGAAACCAGAAGAGAGACTCTCTCCTTCTTCCAGAGGGCCTGGGCCGCGATGACGTGAGCCCGAAGCTGCGTGTGCCCACGTGGAGGGAGCCTGTCTGCTACAGCCTGGGATGGAAGAGAGCTGAGGCAGCTGGAGAGCAGAGGCGTCCAGACCAAATCGATGGAGTTCCTGAATCCAGTCAACCTGAAGGCCGGCACCACGGCTTTACTGGAATGCCCTGAGCTTCAGATGAGAGAATTCCTGGAAGCACCTGGTGCAGAACACAAGGGGAGCCCTCAATAAATGATGGGTTTCCTCCTGTCTTAAGGACTGCATGGGGTTTCTGTGGTGAAAAGTCGGCGTTAAAAATTGTTGCCCAGCTGTGCCGGTGTGTAGGGAGGTAATTTTCCCCGAGGTGGGGTGAGCTTTCAGTCTGCAGATAGAGATGTTCGAGCTCAGGAAAACCTTTTCCCAGAAGATCTTTGACGACTGCATCTCTTGGCTAGGAACAGCGAGTACCCGTCCGTCTCGGTGTTGGTCGTCCGATCTCCGTGTCGGCCGTCTCTCTCCTCCACCTGTGAAGGCTCGGTCCCCGGGGGCGTGGACGCGGGTGACCGTATTCAGCTCCCCAGCGGTTGCCCCCCTGCTCTTCCCGCAACCGTCCTGGGTCACGTGAGTCCCCGCGAAGGACTCTGAGCCACTGGCTGCCCCCAGCCGGGCGGCGCGGGCAACGGGTTCCCGCCCCTTCCCGGCCCCACCGTCCTTCTAGGGCAGCTGCGTGCGTGTGAGGCGTGGCTTCTCGGCCACCGGCTGGGAGCAAAGTCAGCGGGCGGAGCCGCCGCGCTGCCCACGGATCCCGGGAACCCCTGCTGCTCCGCGCAGAGGCCTGGCCCGGGAGCTGGTTGGAAATGCAGAGTCTCGGGCCGTCCTGGCCCCGCTGCAGCAGAAGAGCAGGTTCACAGCACCCCCCCACCCCGGGAGTTGGGGGTGGGGGGCGTTGTGTGCCCGTTAAGTTCCAGAAGCTCTGCTCCAGAGCCCAGGTTAGGGCTCCGTAACCCTTTTATTCCGAATCCAGCGGTTCTGGCTACGCTCGGGGTCACTCTTTACAGCGAAGACCGTCCCAGACTCCTCACCAGACCGCATCATGGCATGCTCTGACTCGACTTCTGACTTCGTTTTCTTTTCTTTTCAAGATTCTTTTTATTTATTTGTCAGAGAGAGAGAGAGGGAGAGCGAGCATGAGTGGGGGAGGGGCAGAGGGAGAAGCAGGCTCCTTGCTGAGCAGGGAGCTCGATGCGGGGTTCGATCCCAGGACCCCGGGATCATGATCTGAGCCAAAGGCAGTCGCTTAACCGACTGAGCCACCCAGGCTTCCCCTGACTTGATTTTCACGTGAGTTTTCCCTCAACGTAGTGTCATCACCGTAAAGTGGGGACTCCACTGCCGGCCACCGGAGTCTTACACGCACAATTCACACTTTACTGAAACCTTAATTTCACTCAGATTCCTGCTGTGTCCTGGGCTTCCTTCACCTTTGAGAGAATCCCAAACTTGCCATAGTTGTGTCAGAAGCTTCTGTTTTGTTCTCTCCACAAGAACTCAATGAGTTCAGTACTTTCTCCTGAGTTTAGAAACTTGTTTCCACTCACAAACCTTGCTGTGTTTTGGATCAGTATCGCCCACTCAACAATAAAAATATGAATGGCTTACATTCGTTACCACATACTGTTGACATGATTAACCTCTTTTCTTGTCACCAGAACTCCCTGAGGTGCGTTGCAATATTCTCATTTTTCAGATGAGGAAGCAGACTGGAGTAAGCAGTGGGAATTGGGATCTTTCTCATTCTCTGCAGGAGACTTACCATTCCCGTGGCAAAATAGTATATGGGTACTGCGGTGAGTAAAGATTCAGTGTATTATTTTGTCTACTTTCGTGTATCTTTGAATAGTTCCATAAGGAAAAGGCACATAAAGTCAAAATAACTAAGTACTATCTGTAATGGCAGGTGACTGGCCAATGTATCTCTCTAATTCTGACCTTTCTTCTCAGTTGCATCCGGATTGATGTATTCGGTGACATTTTTGACCTCTTCACCCTTGAACACCTCACAAGCTTCTGAGAGCTAATGGGCTTGGACCTGCGCTCCTGCTATTCCCTCCCCAAATTGCTCTTCTGCCTGTCTTTCCCATCAGAGCTAATGGCATCATCATATGCCCTGTGTTCAAGATGGACCCAGGAGTCATTCGGTGGCCATCTCTTCTCCGCTACCTCGTATAACCACTTCATCGCCAAGTTGTGCCAATTGTAACCTCCAGAGCATGTCCAAATGCCACTCATTTCTCTGCCTGCAGTGTCAGCCACCACCATTGTCCTAGTGGTCATCACCCTTCACACTGCCCGGGCCCCCTTGGTGAGCTTTCCAATTCCATGCTTCCCCCTTTCAGGGACCAGATGACATTTTAAGATGTAAATCACATCAAAAAAAAAAAAAAAAAAAAGGGCACCTGGGTGGCTCAGTTGGTTAAGCGACTGCCTTCGGCTCAGGTCATGATCCTGGAGTCCCTGGATCGAGTCCCGCATCGGGCTCCCTGCTCGGCAGGGATCCTGCTTCTCCCTCTGACCCTCCCCCCTCTCATGTGCTCTCTGTCTCTCATTCTCTCTATCTCAGATAAATAAATAAAATCTTTTAAAAAAAAAAGATGTAAATCACATCAGCCACCTACTTAGAACCCTTCAATGACTTCCCATTTCCTTTAGAATAAAATACAGACTTCTCACCCAGCCTCAGGTGGCCTCGTGCGCTCTGGCCCTAGTATTTGTCCGCCACATTCCCCGCCTCCCTCTCCTCAACCAGATACCCTGGTCCTCTTTCTGTCTCGCTGATAGCCCACGTGCTGTCCTGCTGCAGGGCTACACACCCCTGCCCACTTTCTATTTTTTTGGTTTTCTCTTACTGATCCTTCCTATCTCCAGCTTTATCTTCCTTCTTTAGAGAGATGCTCCCTAACTACCTAATCAGAACTAGCTTCTCCCAGGCAATCTTTTTAGGATCAGTTTTTAGTTGTGGCAACCATCATCATTTGCAGTTGTATGTTAATTTGTGTTTAAGTGTTTAATGGCTGCCTCTCACACTCTGATGATAACGTGAGGGCCTTTGGATCCAGTACCTAGAAGTGACTGGCACATAGTAGGTGTTCATGAAGCATGTGAAGAACTGAATGCCATTTTCACCTGCATTCTTAGAAAGTATCTCAAGGATTTCTTTCTTGTCAGCAGGTGAATTTCCCATAATAGCCTTTCTATTCTTTACTGACTGCATACGGATTTTAATTCTGTTGTTGCCTTAGGAATTTTCTTACAGTCTTCTTTGAGTCAACTACATTTTCAAGTTTTGTTCTTCATGTACCTATGACCTTCTGCTCCTTGTGCACAGAGGTTATGGTTATTTGCAATCTTTTGAAGATGCCAAATAGTTTGTACTTTTTCTTCTGGCTCTGAAAGCCAATAATTTTCCAGAAGTATTTCCTTTCTTTCAGTCTTCCAACTGTTTCTTTTATGCCATAATCTTTGTTTGTAGACCCCAATTTGTTTTTTTCTTTAATCCATACACAAATAGGGGAAGACTCTCCCAGACTCAGTGTGTCAACAGAATGTGTGGGTTGCCTTTAGTCCCAACTTGCATGCATTTGGGTAGTGTTTCCACCCCCTTGGTAAATCTGCAGCTGGAAAGTGGGTTAGTTGATGGGCATGGCTTCCTGTCCACCTTCCAGCTTCTAACAGGCTTTCCCTTATTGTACCTCCTTGTGCTCTTGTGGTTATCACCTTCCTCTTGTCGTCTTCGTCTATGGTACTGGAAGCCAATGACAGTAAGTGAAACAGTTCTTCCTATGTCTGTGGTTGCCTACAGTGAGTGAGTAATGGGGGAGGATACGTTTTATACCATGGCCAGTCTGCCCTTACTTCCTGCCTAGTTGATTAACAGGGTTGTTCAGTTTCAATGTAAAAATGTAAAAAGGCAGTGGGTAGACTAGAGGGCGTGGGGCCTGGGAGGCTAGAGTGGGCAGAGGGGATGGGGACTAGAGGTGGGCAAAGGACACAGACAGGTTTCAAGCAAGGGGCAAAACTCAGGAACAAAACTTCCTGCCTCACAGTATAGCTAATTGGGATCAATAGCTAGGAATAACAAGTCCTCTGGCTAGTAAAGGCCCGAATTTCTGCACCAGGACACAGTTGGTGTAGTAAGAACAATGTACCTTAAAAAAAAACAAAAACAAAAACAAACCTTTCTCCAGTTGCTCTCTTTCGTGAAGGGAAGCCTGAGTATTCCATAGGAGGTGAAGTATGCACCTCTTTTTCTCAGTCTAACTCTATTTGCCTTAAAATTTTCAAGGCTATTCACAATTTTATATTATGTTCTCCATCAATCTCTCATTATTTTAATGAATTTTTATTATTTTTCTATAAGGTCATGGGAGGTTTTAATGAAAAGTTGTGAGGAGTTTTACTGGTGGACTGTAAGATCCAATTTTTCTCTTATCCTCCTTCAACAAAGAAATCTGCAGATCCACAGAATATTCATGAATATGATTTTTTTTTTTTTTTGCTTAACATCTGCTCCCATAGCTCTGTCAGTAAGGAATTCATCATTCCCAAAGCATTCCATATGCTTTTCCACTCTGCATTTACCCATGCAATTTCCCCTGGCACAAAACCTCTTCATTTTTTGGCCTCTAGCAACTCAAGAACAGGATGTTTCGATCCTCTTCTTGTTTTGAGCCCGAGGACACTGTGACTCCATGTTTGTTAGTACAAACATTCTAATCAGAATCATGCCAACACCGAAGAAATTTTATGAAGAACATATTTTCCCAAGCAAACTCAAATCACTTTAATTCCTTGAGATCAATTCCCTATATAAGGCAGATAAAATGTTTCTAGTACTTTTATTTGTATTTTAATGCAATTATTTTCATCTGGAAAATTCTTATTCATAAACATGTCACTATGATTTGTTTTAAAATTTGTCCAAATCAAAAGTTTTACATTTTAACCTCTTACAAGTGATTTTACTTTTATGGCAATTAGGTCCCATGTTGCAAATTTTGTGGGCCTAAATTTTGTCAAGAAAATGTGATTCTTCCAATTGTTTTGAATCATTAACAAACGTAGTAGATAGTTGTGGTGGTCCACTGATGTTCTCCTGGCACTCACCCTTCAGTACACAAGAATGGTGGTTGGCTCCTGCGCACAAACACCTGCAACTCCCCACAATTCTAAGCCAATGACAGAGGGAAGTTGGAGGGTAAATACCCCAGCTTCCATGTCTTCTGGTGGGATGACTCTCAGGTGTGTTCTACATAGTTTTTCCTAGTTCCCCGGGGCTGTGGGTGGAGGATCGAACCCAGTTACCTCCAGTGGAAAACTGCTTGAAGATGTATCCTTTACTGGCTCCTCTCCATCCCTGTCTTACTATCCCCTCCCTAACTGATGATGCTTTCTGGAATGACCTCTTAAGTAAATTACTTGTATTCTCATTCCCCTCTAGGAGTCAGCTTCCAGGGCCCCCATCTTAAGACTACAAATGTATAAAGTTTTGCCATTGTCAGTTTTATTGTGTCATTTTTTTATGGAGTCTAAATTTTCCATGGTCAGTGTTTTTTTTTAATTTAGTTAATTCTCAGTTTAAGAAAATTTTTAATGAGTTAAAATAAGTCTTCAGCCATTTTTTTCATTCGTAACAAATATCCTGTTTTATGTTGATTATTTCTACCAGTACTAGCATCCACTTGTATAGAAGACTGATAGATTAGAGAAAGACATGTATCATATGACCTCACTGATATGAGGAATTCTTTTTTTTTTTAAAGATTTTTATTTATTTGACAGAGAGAGACACAGTGAGAGGGAGGATACTAGCAGGGGGAGTGGGAGAGAGAAGCAGGCTCCCTGCGGAGCAGGGAGCCCGATGCGGGGCTTGATCCCAGGACCCTGGGATCATGACCTGAGCCGAAGGCAGACGCTTAACGACTGAGCCACCCAGGCGCCGCTATGAGGAATTCTTAATCTCGGGAAACAAACTGACGGTTGCTGGGGTGGCGGGGGTGGGAGGGATGGGGTGGCTGGGTGATAGACATTGGGGAGGGTATGTGCTATGGTGAGCGCTATGAACTGTGTAAGACTGTTGAATCACAGACTGGTTCCTCTGAAACAAATAATACATTATATGTTAAAAAAAAAAAAAAGAAGATAGCAGGAGGGGAAAAATGAAGGGGGTGAAATCGGAGGGGGAGACGAACCATGAGAGACTATGGACTCTGAAAAACAAACTGAGGGTTCTAGAGGGGAGGAGAGCGGGGGGATGGGTTAGCCTGGTGATGGGTGTTAAAGAGGGCACGTTCTGCATGGAGCACTGGGTGTTATACGCAAACAATAAATCATGGAACACTACATCAAAAACTAATGATGTAATGTATGGTAATTAACATAACATAAAAAAATAAAATCTTTTAAAAAAAAAAAAAGACCTAGATTGGATCTGGGTGCATGCTTCATGTGACCTCCTGTGCTTTTTCTGAACATCCTTTCTTGAAACCCTTTTGTGTATTCTCCACCTAGAGAGATATTAATCGCCATGACGAAGTGGAAATGCCAATCCCTCCATGAAACTTTCCTTGCTTCTCATCAACAGTAACTTCGAGCTCCCACAGCATCCTGCTTTTCCCTCTATTTACACCTTTTCTTGCCTTCAGTGATTGTTTCCCCATTACATTGAGAGCAGAGTGGATCTTGTTTGTTTTCACTCCCACCTAACTTCACTCCTACCAGCACACATTGCAGGTATTCAACAAAAGTTTGACTGTAGGGGCACCTGGGTGGCTCAGTCAGTTAAGCGGCTGCCTTTGGCTCAGGTCATGATCCCAGGGTCCTTGGATCGAGTCCCGCATCAGGCTCCTTGCTCAGCGGGAAGCCTGCTTCTCCCTCTCTCTCTGCAGCACCCCCTGCTTGTGCTTGCTCTCTCTGTCAAATAAATAAATAAAATCTTAAAAAAGAAGTTTGAATATATGTTTCCATTACAGGAGATGGAACTCTTACCAAGAAACCTCTCATACTCGGCATCTAAGAATGCTGTTTAACTTCTGAGGTCTTTTTAAATATGTAATGTATACCATGCCTTTCTCATTATCTTTATCAACCTATATCTATCTCTTAGATATATTTGATTGTTAATCCTTTTGCTCTATCAATACAATTCCCATCTCTTTTGTTTTCTCTAAATTGTTTTATTTGCTTTTCACATTTACTGAAATTTAATTATATGATTTAATTGCTCCAGTATTTAAAGATACCTAGTCATCGTTTGGAATAGTATGCTCAAGCGTGGCAAAGGATAGTTGATGAGGAATCCCTCCAAATCCATAACAAAACACCAAAATACCATTGAAAGA